ATTTGCATAATTCTAAATTCATATTTGTGTAATCTGTATCACTGGTATAATGAACTCATCACATAAATCATGTTATCTGTGTCATGTGGATCACTGCAATAACATGCTCTTCGATTTACCACACCCTGGGAATGATCAAACTCCTTTCTGTAACAAATGTATCAGTATTAAAATTAGGCTTCACTGCATTTAGGTGTCTGCAGCATCTACTTTGTTGTACTATTGATTAATCTGTTTATTGAGTTAAAGAAATAGCAATAGACTTTTGCACTATATTAAGACTAACATATTAGCTTCGGTGCCCCATAGCCTTATTTGGCAGATACAATGGGAAAGAGAAAACAAGGCAGAAGGAAATGTAATGCAGAAGATACAAACAGAGTTATTTTCTGGAGTAATTATTCATGATTAGGTACAGGGCAGATAGTCTTGCACTGGAGAACTTAATACATATCGTATCTGTGGAGATTCTCAGAGGTCCAGGTCATGATTGTCCCAAAGGTGCTTTCTTTCAAAAGGCAACTGTCTTCCTTGTTTTGCTACAAGACATTTTGCTTCTCATCCAAGAAACTTTTTCAGTTCTGACTGAATGGTGGAGAATGGAAGGATTGATATTCCTTGGAAGGATTGATATTCCTTGCAGTCATGTGGTTGTTATCCCTCTTTGTGAGAGTCATTAAGGCCACTTAGAGGTTTATCTGTGCCCTCAGGGTCACCTGAATCATGTAGTCTGCATTTTTTCCTGGAAATCCATGATGTCAGCACTTCAACCTGCATTTACTCTAGTGCTGACATAAGAAGGAGAAGAGGGGGCAGCTGGCAAGAGGACGCTTGACATTTCACCTACTTATTTTCCTTGAAGATAATATCCCCTAGGAGATGAGAGGGAGGGGGATATTCCTGGGAACTTAAGTAGTAGATATGGGGAGAGTGATTTGGAAGAAGGCCCATGAGACGCAGAGATTTGGGGAACGGAAAGGGAGGGTGTGGGGGCAGGATGTCAGAGTTGGCTACGCCACGATTGGGGCCAGATTGTCGTGCTTAATAAAATGAAAGATTTCTTCAAAGACTATCTGTTTGGAAATGCAATTTATTTTATTTGAGACAATATCGAAACCTGACACATATACATATGGATACATATCATACTATAATACATATCATATGATAAGAACCTATGTTCTATTCACCCATGTTAGAAAATCTGTGGCATACAGTTTTGTGTGAATGGCTATTGTTAAGAAGTTTGTATTGCTCCCATTTGCTCCCTTGAGCCCTGCTGACGCAGTGGTTAGAATACAGTATTGCAGGCAAACTCTACCCACAAGCTGGAGTTTGATCCTGACGGGCTTGAGGTTGACTCAGCCTTCCATCCTTCCAAGTCGGTAAAATGAGGACCCAGATTGTTGGGGGCAATATGCTGACTCTGTAAACCGCTTAGAGAGGGCTGTAAAGCACTATGAAGCAGAATATAAGTCTAAGTCAGTGGTTCTCAACCTGGGGGTCGTGACCCCTTTGGGGGTCGAACGGCCATTTCACAGGGGTCGCCAAAGCCCTCTCTCTCCCCACCCCCCACGCCTTCACTCACCCTCACCCTCTGCCTCTGTTGGATCGCCCAGTCGCCATTCGCTTACCCCGCCCACTCCCAATCTATTGCTGCCTCCGGAGTCCCAGCTGATGGCTAGAGGGAAAAAAAAACTTTAAATTCTTGCCGCGGGGCTTCAAAGAGCTAGCTGCAAAGAGGTAAATTCCTGGAGCAGATTTTTTTCCCTCTAGCTATGCTGAAAAAGCGAAATTGAAAGTAAGCAGGCTGCAATTTGACAAAATGAGGCAGAGAGATTTCTTTTTCTTTTTCCTCACCAAAAAAGGTAGGTGCAAACAATGGGAAATTTAGGGCAAAAGAGGAGAGTTCAAGATTTTAAAACACAAAAGAAAAAAAGCTCTATTTAACTAGGGAATTGTAATAATTGAGATATTATTAATTGGTTAAGTTGTGGTTTGGAGGAATATATGGGGGAAATTATTTGGTTTATTATTATTGGTAAATATAATTAATTGATTTGTAAGAAATTGGATTGCATGGAAATAATTGGAATATTCATGTTCATATTGATTAATATACAAAAAAGATAGTTATATAACTAATTGATTTATATTAAAATGTTGAATTTGTATTAAACAACTGTATTACGTAATTACATAATTAACCAATGTGAGGATGGCTATAAAAATAGATGACAATGCGAAGGGATATAATATAGAACAGAGGGGAAAAATTGAATTTGATTAAGATTAGAGATGAGGATGAAGGGTAATATTGTTTTTTTTAAAAAAATAGATGAGGAATAAATATGGTAAAAAGGAAATATAGAAATTGTAAATTTAATTGAAATGACTAAATACTGTGTTGAAAGAAATATCCTTCTGGGTTCTGCTCCAAGTGGGGAAAAAGACACTGGAAACATGGAGACTGCTTGGAAAGATGGTTTAATGGTGGACAGGATCACATGGCTTGATGGGGCCCATTGTGTTAGTTTCTGTTGCTATTGTGTTGCAAATGTCCTTTGACAAAGGATTGACTTTCTGCCTCTGGCCCATTAACAAAGGGTGGGGGGCAGGAAGGTGGGAGCTGCTTTGTCTGTAAAATATGCTTCTCCATTTCTCATCCAGGTAGGGAAATATAATATTCTGCCTTTTTAATATTTCCCAAAATATTTCATTCTTCTAGGAAAGGGGTGGATGCTAACCTCCTACAACTGTTTAAATTTGTGAACCGGCCAAATACTCTGTTCAAAGAAAATACGTTGTATGTTTGTATGCGTGTTTCTAATTATTGCTATTTATTGCTATTTGTTCTCTTTTATTCTTTAAAGTTTAACAATTCATTCTTTATCTTAATATCTTTATATTTGTTTGGTGTTGGCTTTCTTCCCTTTCATCTTTTTTATTGTACAGCAATCTTTCTCCTCAAACCTACCACCTCTGTCTTTTCTTTCTTTCTTACTTTCTCTTCCCCCCCTCTTCTTCTTCTCCCTACTTCCTCTTTCTTTCTCTTTCTCCTCCTCTCTTCCTCCCTCTCTTACCTTCACTCCTACTCTAATTTCCCTTCCCTTCCCTCATCCCTCTGTATTGCTGTATCCTTTTATGCATATGGACTACTCAGAGGGCTGAAAAAGTTATTTTTGACTGGTCCTCGCACTTTTGACCAGTCCTCGAACTTACGACTGCCCTCACAATTTACGTTTTTGCGCTATCTTGTCACCATGGTGAAGAGAAGCAGTTGTGAAATGAGTTACACAGTTGTTAAGAATGGTACAATGGGCATAAATGATGACCAGTCATAACTGCGAAGACCGGTCAAAAGTGCGAGGACCTGTCAGAAATCACATTTTTCAGCCCTCTGGGTAGTCCTTTTGTGCACAGGGACTACTCAGAGGGCTGAAAAAGTTATTTTTGACTGGTCCTCGCACTTTTGACCAGTCCTCGAATTTACGACTGTCCTCACATTTTACGTTTTTTGCCCTAACTTATACCATGTTGAAGAGAAGCAGTTGTGAAATGAGTGACATGGTTGTTAAGAATGCTGCACAGGCATAAATGTGAGGATGGTCATAAGTGTGAGGACCAGTCAAAAGTGCGAGGACCTGTCAGAAATGACTTTTTTCAGCCCTCTGAGTAGTCCCTATACATATAGCCATGGCCACCCGGTCACATGACCAGCTAGCCACGCCCACCCAGTCACATGACCTCCAAGCCACACCCACAAAATATGCCATGCCCACAGAACCGGTAGTAAAAAAGTTTAGAACCCACCCTTGGTTGGGGGTCATCACAACATGAGGAACTGTATTAAAGGGTCGCGGCATTAGGAAGGTTGAGAACCACTGGTCTAAGTGCTATTGCCATTGCTCCCATTTGTATATTGTATGACCATGACCATGACAATGTCTTCTAGTTCTTTAAGCTGTGATTACTTTGAGCCCTGGGAAAGAGGCAAGGGCAACCCACTTCTGAAAACCATTGCCAAGAAAACTGCAGGGACTCATCTAGTGTCAACAGGCATACACAAGTATGATACTATATAATGTGCCAAAAGTACCATGTCATCGACACAAGTTTCTTGCCCAAACTCCAAGACAACCACTATTTATGGATGGCATGTTCTCACAACAGAGTTTCAATCTCCCTGTCAAGTCACACCACTCAAGCTGGCTGAAGCTGGATCAAGTTAAGATTAAGGTTAGGAACATGATATTTTCCATCCAAAAATGGAAGATTTCCTATGGAGACATTCAGTGTGACTTGGGAGTAGTTTTTTAGTGGGAGGGTTTTTGATCTGCTGGGCTCTACCGGATCTACAACACAACTTTCCCCTCATATCTCCCTTGTGGGTGTAGGTGTGTGAATCTATGCTTCTGTAGCTATTTATGTCCAGTCCAGCCAGAGAAAACTGACTCTTGCTGGTTTAGCCCTTTCCTTTTCTTTCTTTTTCTTGTGATTCAGTGATAGATATTGACTTTTGGGAAGCGGGTATGCAAATATGCCAACAACAACAGATTAATGTGATGTGGATTCTTGGGCACAAAGGATGCAAGTGAGTGAGATACTGAAAAATATATGAAAAATCAGTCCCTTGGAAAGCAGTGAGATTAGAGTGAAAATGAGTGAAATAATTGCAAGGAAGGGATTAGAATTAAGGGATTCAAATTATACAGTTCCAAAATATTGTATGGCTTTTTAGCATCATCACAGTAAAGTATTCCTCAGCCCTTCTTCCCCCCTTCCCTGTCGGTCAGATTGATATATGTGTTGAGTATTGTTTTACTACATGTGCTTACTTTATACTATGGTATAAAATTGATAAAGGAAAGAGTTTGGGTATATAAAGATAGTTTAGTCCTAAAATTCAATTTTCATCACTGTTATTTTCTTATATTTATCACATTTACAAAGATACAATGGACTTTCAAGATAACCAGATAACTTTTTTACCATTACAGGAGAAATTTGAGAGCTTGTTCCGTGCTTATGATGACTGTGTGACATTTCAACTGTTTAAAAGTTTTCGACGGATAAAAATTGACTTCAACAACGCCAAATCAGCTGCTAATGCTAGAACGGAACTTCATGAAACACAGTTCCAAGGGAAGAAACTAAAGCTTTACTTTGCAAAGGTAAGATTCTTTTTTACCCAAGCATTTTCTTCACCCAGATGCAAATAAGGTAATTTAAATTTTGAGCATATTAATGTCAGACAAGAGACCAGAAGGAATCATAATAATGTGTGTATGGGTAAAGTGTACAAAATAGTAATCAATCAGAATAGAGCTGAAAGGGACCTTGGAAGTCTTCTAGTCCAACTCCTGCTCAAGCAGAAGACCCTATGCAATTTGAGACAAGTGGCTATCCAGTCTCTTCTTAAAAACCTGCAGTGATGAAGCACCCACTGGTTAATTATTCTCACTGCAGTCTCACCTTAATTCCAGGTTGCTTCTCTCCTTAATTAGTTTCCATCCATTATTTCTTGTCTTGCCCTCTGGTGTTTTGGAAAAGAAGTCGACCCACTCTTCTTTGTGGCAGCCCCTCAAATCCTGGAATACTGGAAAGTTAACTTTAGTCTGAGAGTCAGTTTGATATAGTACCAGGCGAGGCTAGAAACAGGGAGACTGTGAGTTCCAGACAGCCAGCTTGGGCTAGTCATTTTCTCTCAGCCCTAGGAAAGAGGCAACGACAATGGCAAACCACTTCTGAAAAACCTTGCCAAGAAATGTTTAGGGACTAGTCTAGGCAGTCTCTGGAATTGGACATGATTGCATGGAAGAAAAAGAAAATTTCTGTCTGTCTTGCTTTGCCCCATGATAATCGAAGCCAAAAGAGCAGTCACCTGCTAATCTGAACTAAAACGTTTTGGTACCTTTGTCATGTCATGATCTATATTTTCTTTATGGTATTACTTAAAACAGTTTCATCTTGTCATATTGCAGGACCAACCAAATTTACATAGAGGCAACATGAATTAATGTAACTGGTGATGAAGCACCTCAGTCAATATTTCTAAATATGATAAATAGATGACTAAGATACATGGGTTAGAATTTCATTGTTCTCAAGCTCTAGTCTAGCTTATTTCCCACTTTTCTTATGTATATACAGTGTGAAATTATGAGGAACATTTTTAATAGAATAACAGAATAAGAGAGTTGGGAGGGAACTTGGAGGTTTGTAGTCGAACACCTTGCTCAAGCAGGAAACCCTATACCCGTGATGGCAAACCTATGGCACGCGTGCCACAGGTGGCATGCCGAGCCATATCGGTCAGCACGCGAGCTAAGCTCCGGCGCACATGTGGCCAGCCAATTTTGGGGCCTTCTGGGCCCACCAGAAGTAGGGAAACAGGCCATTTCCGGCCTCTGGAGGGCCTCTGGGGGGCGGTGGGGAAGGCCGTTTTCACCTTCCCCAGGCTCCTCGAAAGCCTCTGGAGCCTGGGGTGGGCGAAAAAAAGGCATACCAGGCCCACTGTGCCATTGTGTGCCAAAAGCAGGGGGAAGTGTAGGTGGATCATGCGCTCATGCAGGGGGGGTGGGGCACATAGAATTATGGGTGTGGGCACGTGCGCGCGCGACCTCCCCGCGCTCCCCCCACTTTTGGCACGCGATGGCAAAAAGGTTAGCCATCACTGTCCTATACCATTTCAGACAAATTGTTGTATAAAAATCTTCAGGGTTGGAGCACCCACAACTTCTGAAGGCAAGCCATTCCACTGATTAATTGTTCTAACTGTCAGGAAATTTCTCTTTAGTTCTAGGCTGCTTCTCTCCTTGATTAATTTCCACCCATTGCTTCTTGTTCTGCCCTCAGGTGCTTTGGAGAATAGATTGACCCCCTCTTCCTTGTGGTAGTCCTTCAAATATTGAAACACTGCTATCATTTTACCCCTAGTCCTTCTTTTCACTAGACTAGACATACCCAATTCCTGCAACTGTTCTTCATATGTTTTAGCCTCCAGTCCCCTTTTTAATACTCAAAGCAGCCATAGAGGTCTGATGTTTTGAGTTTTTTTTAAATTGATTGATTGATTGATTGATTGATTGAATTTATATTGCTGCCTATTCGCCCATGACGACTCAAAGCGGCTTACAGAATATAAAATCATGTTTAAAACAATAAAACTAATAAGGTGAGGTGGCGCAGTGGTTAGAGTGTAGTACTGCAGTTACTTCAGCTGACTGCTAGTTCAGCAGATCAATGGATCAAATCTCACTGGCTCAAGGTTGACTCAGCCTTCCATCCTTCCGAGGTGGGTAAAATGAGGACCCAGATTGTTGGGGGCAATATGCTATTTAGTATACTGTCTTTGGTGTAAGCCGCCCAGAGTCCTTAGAGAGTGGGCGGCATAGAAATATTAAAAATAAATAAATAAATAAATAAATAAATAAAATCAAATAAATGAATATAGCATAATATAATAAATTCAGCCCCAGTCCCCACCCTGGCAACAGCAGATCACATGAGCCATTTAATGGGTTCCATCCTGTTCTGGGTTCCCCAGGCCTGCTGGTAGAACCAGGTCTTCAGTGTCTTCTGGAAGAGTATTAGAGTGGGGGCTGTTCTAATCTCTGGGGGAATGATGTTCCAGAGAGAGGGAGCCACCATGGAGAAGGCCCTTCTTCTGGGTCCCACCAGGTGTATCTTCCTCGGGGATGGGACCTGCAACATTCCCTGCCTTCCCGCTCTGATGGGTCAGGTAGATGTGACCAGCAAGAGATAACCTGGTCCCAAGCCATGAAGGGCTTTAAACCAGCACCTTGAATTGCACCTGGAAGCAAATTGGCAGCCAATGCAGCTCCCGCAGGAGAGGTGATACATGTGCACACCGGGGTCTGCACAAAACCATGTGGGCCGCTACATTTTGCACCAACTGTAGCTTCTGGATTCTCTTCAAGGGCAGCCTCATGTAGAGCATGTTGCAATAGTCAAGATGGGAAGTAACTCGGGCATGAGTGATTGTGAGTAGGGATTGTCGGTCCAGGAAAGGGCGTAACTGGCCACAACCCACAGTTACACAAAGGCCCTCCTGGCCACGGCCGCCAGCTGCTCTTTGAGCAGGAGTTGTGAGTCCAGGAGAACCCCCAGATTATGCACAAGATCTGTTTGGGGTAGTGCCACTCCATCCAAGACCAAAGGTGGCAATTCTCCCTGAGCCATCAAACCTGAAACCCAGAGCCACTCGGTCTTGCCAGGGTTCAGTTTCAACATGTTGCTCCCCATCCAGCCACGAACAGCCTCCAGGCACTGTGAGAGGGAGGACACAGCATCACTTAACTCACCATGGGCCGAGACATACAGTTGAGTATCATCAGCATATTGGTGATACCTCAGTCCATGGTGATGGATGATCTCACCCAGTGGCTTCATATAAATGTTGAACAGGAGCGGAGAGAGCAGTGGGTGAGGGCTGGATCTCTCCCCTCCTATCAACACTGACTGAGAGCGGCCGCAGAGGAAGGAAGTGAACCAGGATAGCACAAGGCCTCCCACTCCCATCCCTCAAAGCTGCTCCAGGAGAATACCATGGTCGATGGTATCGAAAGCTGTGGAGAGGTCAAGTAGAGCAAGGATGGATGCACTACCCCTATCCCGCTTCCACCAGAGATCATACAAAAGTGTGACCAATGCTTTTCTGTCCCAAATCCAGGCTTGAATCCTGACTGGTAGGGGTCGAGTTGGGCAGCCCTTTAAATCTATTAAATATATAAATAAACAATGGGCCAACAGTGGGTTGGGCAATCTCCGTATAGCTGAAAAATCTGTGCACTGGCAACAGACAAGAAAAACAATTCTTCTTCCTTTAAACAACACACTAAAACAATATTGCTTTGATAGTCTAACCCAGCAGACATGGCACTGGTACCAATAAGCCCTCCACATTACCAAAGGACCCAAACCCCACATTTTAAAGAAAGAAGTACTCCACAGCACTGTTTTACCATTCATGCCACAGAAGGCTGGAGATCAGAATGCAATCACCCATCTAAGAAAAACTAGGGGGAAGACATAGAATCCCTAGCACATTGGGGGGTAGAATGCCAGAGCCAATCAGGGGACCTGAAGTCTGATCCATTAGTCTTACCTTTAAGACAACACCTGTCAGTAATTTATTGTGATTACAGACTGGGAATGTATGCATGTAGAACATGACTAGACAAAGTTTTGGGATCAGTGGGCATTGTTTGGAAATATGTGGGGGCTTTGCCTATTCAGTATAATGGCATGGTCAGTCACAAAATATCCTTTGCCAGAATACAAATGGGAGAAGATTCTCCTTCACACCCTCTAGCTCTCTTGATGTTGACTATCACTGCAGCTGTCTTTGTCTTTTTTCCTAGGTAAGTGGCACATCCCGGGAAAAGCTGTGGGCCACAGTTACCTCCCATTTTTAACTTTTAAGAATGCCTATAGACTCTTTCTGGGACGTGGGACATTATTGCCAATAAAGATAATGTTAAGAGGTTGCTCATTGTTGCAGAGTGTAAGATTTCCATTTCTTTTTTTAAAATTAAATAGTCAGGTATACTGTATAAATTAGCTGAAGCAAGGAATCTTGTGAATGCTTAGACATCACCTTTTCTGCCCTTCAACTGTAGGATTTCTACAGAGAACAAAGTCATCCCTTTATTTTCTTTGCAGATCAAGTGTGGCACCGGCTGTCAAAAAGACAGATTTAGCTTGTTTCCATTGGCCTTATAGACAGCTACATTAGCCCATCCCTTTAGAAAGGGAACACAGTTATGAGTGTAACTCAATACTACCTGAAAATAGCAGAGCATTTATTTGTGGATCCACTTTCTGTCCTTTACTGCAGCCTTCTTTTCCATTCTGGTGCCTTTCAGATTAGTTGAGTCTGTCATCTGCATCTCTATAACTGTCTGGTTTGGTTCTGCAACCCAACAAGACAGACACAGACTTCAGAGCATAATTAGAACTGCAGAAAAAATAATTGCTACCAACCTGCCTTCCATTGAGGATCTGCACGAGTCAAAAAGAGGGCTATGAAAATATTTACAGACCCCTCGCATCCCCTCGCATCCTGGACATAAATTGTTTCAACTCCTACCCTCAAAACGATGCTATAGAGCACTGCACACCAGAACAACTAGACACAAGAACAGTTTTTTCCCAAACGCTATCACTCTGCTAAACAAATAATTCCCTCAACATTGTCAAACTAGTTATTAAGTCTGCACTACTATTAATCTTCTCATCATTCCTATCACCCGCCTCCTCCCATTTACAACTGTATGACTGTAACCTTGTTGCTGGTATCCTTATGATTTATATTGACTGTTTCCTAATATGATTTGATTGCTTATTTGTTCCCTATGACAATCATTAACTGTTGTACCTTATGATTCTTGACGAATGTATCTTTTCTTTTATGTACACTGAGACCGTATGCACCAAGACAAATTCCTTGTGTGTCCAATCACTCTTGGCCAATAAAGAATTCTATTCTATTCTATTCTGTTGAGACTGAAACCAACAATCGTCTGGAAATTGGTTCCAAAAATAGGGGGGGGGGGTATTGACTGAACATAATTGTTTTATTCTTCTGTCCTTACTCTCCTGAAGCAATACTCTGTTTTGCCCCTCATCTCTGTAAAGGTCCAGACTCTGGAGAATGATGGAGAGGCCTTCCATTTGGCTCCACCCCAGCCATCCAAGCAATTCCTCATCTCACCTCCAGCCTCTCCTCCTGTAGATTGGCAATCAAAGACTGATGATACACCAGTCATCAATTATGACCTCCTGTATGCTGTTTCTAAACTGGGACCAGGTCAGTTTCATGATTCTTTTTTATTTTCAAGTTTAGGAACTGAAGACCAGAAAACAAAGCAGACATAATGAGTGCTTATGTCTGCTATTATTGTTGAACTCACCATTCTTCTTTCTAGTTGCATAAGAGTGATCAGGTGTAGCAGTATTCTGGGGCTACAGGAGTGATGGATGTTGATGAAGGGGCACAGGAGAGTGGACTGCCATGGGTATGGCCACAGCCAGTATTCCCTTTCCGATTCACTTTCTTTCATGCGTATGTGCATTATCTCACCGCTCTTTTTCTCATTTCTCTCACACTGTAGCTTTTCTCCATCCAACTTTTTTCATTTTCACTCTTCCTCTCTCTTTTTATCCTCCCAGCCCCCTAAATTAGGATCCCTGTCTGTATTCTTTTTTCTTGCTTAGCCTTTTCTTATTTGTTGCTCCTTATTGTATTGCAGAAGCCCTCTGGCCTCCCCCCCACTCCCTCCCTCAGCAAAATCCATCTTTGGAATAAAAATGGTCAACATAACTGTTACAAAATTCCCAGGGTCTAATCTGCGCACCCTTATTTTTAAATTGAAATTGGCTGCACTCAATACCAAAGTCGAAAGATTTGGGATCTCATACAATAGAAGAAATGAGACCACAGGAGCAAAACTTAAATAATAAAATAAAATGATTTATTTGTAAAGTTTCAGTTACCAATTCCTATTAATTCACTGATTCCCACAGCCTTACAAACCACCCCTCCACCAGGTTGATTGGGAATTGGCTAGGATTTTTGAAGACAACATTGCATGCAGCAGATGGACAATCTCTGTCAGAAATCTTTCAGTGACCTTTGGGACTCCATAATTTTTTATTCACTGTACAGGCTGGCAAAATGGCTGTACCTCATTCTATCAGATATTTATTTATTTATTTGTTTGTTTGTTTGTTTGTTTGTTTGTTTGTTTGTCCAATTTATATGCCGCCCTTCTCTGTAGACTCAGGGCTGCTTACAATGCATTATAGCAATAGCCTGCATACTTTTATGTATATACCTGCTTATTAGGGCTTTCGGCCCCCCCAAGCGGCGGTGTTCTATACAAAGCTGGCTTATTGCCCCCACAATCTGGGTCCTCAATTTACCTACCTCGAAAGGATGGAAGGCTGAGTCAACCTTGAGCCTGGTGAGATTTGAACTCGCACTAATTGCTGGCAGCTGGCAGCTAAGTGCTAGCACTTAACAGCACTTAGTCCGCTGCACCACCGAGGCTCTTCACCGAGGCAGAGTGGTTAGACTGAAATAGAATTTAAATTGGCCTGAGAGTTAATTTTTTTGGCCAAAGATTGGTCTGTTTGTCCTACATAGCATCCAGAGGAGCATTGCTGCCAGATGATGGCAGAAGAATGTGTGAATCTTCTGCATGAAATAATTGGGATCTGTTATGGTGCTGTTGGTATATATAGGAACAAGCTAGACGTCTGGGTTTGCTTCCAGGTCTGGCACCCAAGTGAACATCAATGTTTTGTTGTTTTCTTTTCTTGTGAGAATCTGCTCAAGATTAGGTGGTTGTTTGCATGCATATATGGACTTGCTGCCCAGTACCTAAGAAAGAGCAGTATCCTTGTCCAGTATGGACTGTAGCTTATTAATAGTGTGTTTGAATGGCTTGAACTGGGAGCTGTGAGAAGACCAATGGTTTTCTTTGTTCTGTTTCTGTAGTCTGGCTTTTAATAGGTCCTCCTTGGGAATTGATCTGACTGTACAGATTTGTCTGTTCATCTCATTGGGTGGGTTGAATCCCTGTTTTAATGCTATATGTGAAGTGGATCAGAATAAATATGGCAGTAGCATAAAACCTGGCAATAGATAATAGATTGGTGGTGTCTTCTGGATGGAAGCTGGAAGCATGTATTGTATGCATTGCAATTTGTGGGCTTCCTATACATGTTATTTATGTGTGTCTGTTGTACCATTTACAGAAGTAGCAATAGCAATAGCACTTAGACTTATATACCGCTTCACAGTGCTTTACAGCCCTCTCTAAGTGGTTTACAGAGTCAGCATATTGTCACCAACAATCTGGGTCCTCATTTTACCGACCTTGGAAGGATGGAAGGCTGAGTCAATCTTGAGCCCATGAGAATCAAACTGCCGAACTGCTGGCAGCCGGCAGTCAGCAGAAGTAGCCTGCAGTACTGCATTCTAACCACTGTGCCACCACAGCTCAGTTTTGTAGGAGGACTATGTTAATCTACGGTGGCAAAAAATCAGGAGGAGTCTGCTAGCAACTTTTCTGGTGAATTCATTTTGTTAAGGCACAAGCTCTTTGTGTTAGTCTGATAAAAAGTTACCAGATTCCAATTTTGGTCTTAGAATAATAGATCTTCTATTGGTGAAAATTGATGTCTGCCTTTAATGAGCACAAATGGTATCTTGGAACATTTATAATATATTGAGCTTCTACATAAGAAAATTTTAAATTATAAATTAAAATCCAAATTGTTTTTTTTTTGAACAAAGAATTTTTATTGTTTTTTTTTAAAAAAAATTTCAAACAAATCAAGCAAATCAATTAGACATTTGTGCAAGCCCCCCCTCCCTCCCCCGTCCCCCGACTTCCCAGAAGAAAAACAGGGTATAGATTTTACCAAGCATACGCTAAAAAATGCTAAATTAATGCAAGACATTAAAACTCCCTAGACCCCTTAACTCCCCTTCTACAGATTATTCATCAACCTCCCTTTAAACACAAAATAACATATAATCCTTTAGCCCTAAGAATTTTTTTTTTATTAAAAAACCAATAACAAACACTAGTAGATAATACATACTTAATCATTTGGCTATTCCTCCAGCTTTTGTTCTCAATATTCAAATATTTTTAACAATAACTAAACCTTAATTAATCATTGATTAAACTCTCAATTCATTTAGTTAATCATTGTAGTTAATCATTAATACATCAATAATTAGGCCAGAAAAAAATAATCTTCCGTTCTTCCTTTCTTTCTGTATTTTTTCCAATCTTTCTCCCTTCCTCCTTCTTTTATTTTGAGGAGGTTTTAACTGGGGGTTGATGTATCTTTAAGACTTGTCCCTTTCTCAAAACCATTTCCTCTGATTTAGAGCCCCCATCTCGACTCTTCTTGCTTGTATAGACACTCAGTTCATAGAACAAAGAATTAACTCGATCAGTTTGCAAAGAAAAATCCAGTTGCTGCATTTCAATTAATTGTGTGAAAGCCTCTGCCAAATCCTCCGAGACCTCATAGAGCTGATCAGTTTCTTCTTCCTTCTGCTCCAAATTATATTTTTGAAAAGTTCTGTCAGTTAATTCCAAAGGGCAGGAAGAAGATTTGAAGATTCTTGAGGGTCAGCCAGTTCCAGCTTCTCTGTCTTAATCAAAATGTCTCCTACATTGTCATTATGCTTTCCTTCAAAAACATCCCCAGTTGCTTTTTTATCCTCCACCAGTTCTGTAAGTTTTTATTCCATGATTGCTGTAAAGTTATTAATAATTTCAGTTTGATTATTCATGGCTTCCTTTATAAATTCTGCAAAGTCTCTGAAAAAAGCCTCCTGGCTCTGTGTTTCAGTTCTCTGTGTCATTTCTAACGGCATTACAGAGCCTCCACTTTCAGAAACTCCTTCCTTGGAAGCCATATTATTTTAAAAGAAATTTTCTTTTCACAGCCATAAAGTCTCTCAAACAACTTTCTCAAATTTATTTGTAATTTATCAAGCAAGATAGTCTTTTCTAGACCCAGCTTTCAAATCCAGCAGTTTAAATCCAGTCTCTGAGCAAAAGTCTATTAACAAGCACTTTCATTTCCTACTTTCACTTTCATACCTACAAAGACACCATTTCCAGCTAGAGCTCGGCAAAATCAAATAGAAACAATGTATCCCAGGAGTTAAGCATATACTTGCAAAAGCTTGTATTCCTGCTTCCGTTCTGTCTGCTTTTTGAACTCAGTTGATCTTCTTTTTGGCAGCAGAGTCGGTCGCCGGCGTCTGGCTCCATTTAAACGGAGTCGCCATGGATCCGGAGCTTCAGTGGGCTGAACGGGGAGCTCTCACCCTCCAAGCCCCTGGAATTGCTCTACCCTCGCCCGAAGGAGAGGTTTTTAAGCCATCTGACAGCTGATTAGCGCTGTCAGAATGGCTCGAATGGAATCACGGGGCCGGCGGTCCAAGAAGACTGTCCGCGGCGCCAGGCGGTGCCAACCGGAAGCCTCCAAATTGTTATTTTACTGATATACTGATGCCCTAGTACAGTGATGGCTAACCTTTTCTGGACTGAGTGCCCACCACAGGCGCCGCGCCTACCTGCATGCACGCCCCCCCACATGTGTAGATGTCCCCCCCGCATGCACCCTGCCTCCCGCACATGAGCTCGTGGACCCCCGCGCACAGCCCATACCCCACGCATGTGCAGGTGAAGTTGAAGTTACCCAGTCTCTGTAAGGGGCAGAATAGATTTCAGCTCAATCCAGCCAAGACTGAGTAGCTGTGGCTATTTGTCCACACAGGGTCAGGGATGTTTCCATCATTAGTCTTGGATGGGACTGCACTTCCTCATTCTAGACAGGTATGCAACTTGGAGGCCTTTCTGCTTGAAGAGCAAGTGGCAACTGTGGCCATCAGGTCCTTCTGACAGTTACTCATGCTTTAGTCATCTTGTTACTGGATTATTGAAATGTGCTATACATGGGGCTGCCCTTTGAGACCATCCAGAAGTTACAATTGGTACAAAACGCAGTGCTGGAAGCAGTATTGGGCACCTCTCAGTGTGCCCATATATATCACTGCTGCTACATGAGTTGCACTTATTGTCAATCAGCTTCTAGGTGAATTTCAAGGTGCTGCCATAAAAGGTACCTAAGGCCTGAATATCTGAGAGTCAACCTATTTACAACTGTTCCTGCCACCTATTATGTTCTAGCAGAGTGAGAATGCTTCAGATCCCTACTGTTACATGTTGTCATCTTATGGGACCAAGAAAGTTTGCCTTCTCTGTTGTGGCTCCTGTCCTCTGGAGCAGCATCCCCCCAGAGATATGGACAGTCCCTCTCTCTTTGGATTCCAAGAAGCACTTAAGATCTAGTTTTGGTATCAGGTCTGCAGTTAATGATTTTGTGGGGCCCCTCATTTGATTTGATTTTTTTATTGTGTGATTGTTTTAGTCCATGTTGTCTGTAGGGTTGTATGTTTTTATCTTTTTTATTGATTTGTATTTGTAAGTAACTCAGAGTCTACTGGAATGGGTGACTATAAAATAAATGTAAAATATTTTTCTTGACTTCCAGGTGAGAAATATGAACTACATGCAGGTACTGACTCCACCCCAAGTGTAGTTGTGCACATCTGTGACAGCCATGCAACAGAAGAGGAGGCCCCAAACAATATACCAAAGCCACAGATTATGCAGACTCGACGTCCTAGCCTACCATCCTCCATGTGTAGTTGATTTGCCCCAAGAACATATCTTCTTTTCTTTTCTCCTAGTAGAAGTCAGCCATGTCTTTCTGTGTAATCCAGTATTCAGTTTCTTAGCATATTCCTTGTGTGGTAATGGAGCCTAAGCAACAACAGGGTTCAGAACGTGCTCTTTGTAACCATTTTTATGTCACATTCCTGTAGAACAGAAGGAGAAGAGGAGATTAGAGGTGGAGGGATTTCCCAAACTTCTTAAGGCTGAAACCTGGGATAAAGTCAGCAAGCTTTTCTTTTAAGGAAACATATATCAGATTTCAGTGCACAAAGTAAGATTCTTTAAATGCTATTCATTAAATGGAAGTAATAAACTTGGATGTGTTGTTCTGATCAACAGTCCCCAAATGTTCCAAAACATATTTCTATAAAGAGGTTTTTCTCCTTATATTTACTGTGCAGCATAGCTTTCTTCTCTGGGCTTGTAATACCCTATCTGCAAGGAAAGGGTCTTGGAGAGCAGAATTGTGGAAGGTTCTATCTGTGAATTCTTGAACAGCCATTCTCAGAACAAACAGCAGAAACAAACTAGGTTCTCTGATATTGGAAAGTAAGAAGTCAGACCTTAGTTGTGCATAGCCTAACTTTTTTTGTTTGTTTTATAAAAATTCCTTTTAATGCACAAATGCAACCAGTGTGAAGTAATTCAGCTACTACCTGAATTCAAATTAAGGCAGTTCAGCCCTTACTGAAATTAAAACTATCCTAGTGATTTCATGGGTTTAAGATAAATTATTTGATGCGGATCTTTATTTCCTTTAACAATGAATTCAGATAGTTGAATGACAACCACTTTTCAGACTAAAAGATAGGACTATTCCAATTAAGGTACAGGCTTCTTCAATATTTCAGCACATGTTTTTACATATATAGAATTATATAATTGGGTGTCAAACTCAGGTGTCACATTGCCATCACGTGACGTATCGTATCGTTTTCTCCCTTTGTGCAGCTGGGGTGGGCATGGCCTGTACATGATGCATCCAGCCCACAGGCCGCCAGTTTGACACCCCTGCTTTAAACCACCTCAGCACTCATGTTTTGTAGCTGTGATCATGCCTATCTAGCTCCCTTGCATTGTTACTCAAGTTACAAAAAAGGTCAGTCTTTCTGTTTGCAGCTGTATGGTTCTGATATTTCCAAACCCAGATCAAAGTGCTAGTTATAACCTCTAAAGACCATATCACTCAATTCCAGATTATTTTAAGGACCATTTCCTTCTGTTGGAATCTGTCCAATCTTTACATTTAGAAGAAAAGGGTTGGTTACAGTCTCCCCTCAAGCTAACAAAAGATGAACCAGAAAGTAAGTTTCTGTAGCAGGCCACTATTCAGAACACTTTATCCTTGGACGTGTGTCAGGTACCCTCCTGACTTATTTTGGTAACTTGATTATTGATGGTAATGGAGGTTTGGTTTGGGGTGGTACTCTTTTGTTATCTTTTGTTCCTGATATAGGTATTGATTTTTATGTCTGTAAATCAACTGATTGACAATGAAGATACTAAGGTGGTTGATAGGTTCTACCTTTTAGGATCAACCATCAATAGTAAAAGAAATATATTGCAGACTAACACTTGGTAGAGCAGCCATGAAGGCCTTGGAAAATGTATTTAAATGCTTGATGTGTGCATGCCTACAAAGATCAGAATTGTTCCAGCCACAATATTCCCTAGTGACATCTTGGAAAGCAAAAGGTGGACTTTGAAAAAGTCAGGTAGAAAGTCTATTGATGTTTTTGAACTTTAATGTCAGAGAAGACTCCTGAGAATACTACAAACAACATAAAAAGCCCCAATCAATGTATCATCAAACAAATCAACCCAGATTTCCTACCTGAAGCACAAAAGAGACTCAAACAATCATACTTAGGCCACATTATGCAAAAGACAATGACGACCAGCAGCAAGCTTAATCTGAAAGACAAGATTAAGCACAGATAATCACAGGGAAAAAAACCTATGGTTGTCAATTTGACACCAAATTAATGGCACATTATCAGCCAAATCATCTGGACTCTGAGGAATTGGATGGTAGAGCAATGTTCATAAATATTTTGATTATGGGGGAATACTAAGAATTACATTTTTTTTTCTTTGTACAGGGAAGTGAACAGACATATATATTGCTGAAGGTCTGCAATAATCTGTGGTGGATACAAAGGGAATAGCATATTCTATAACCCAATTTATTAGCTGGAAAGAGCATTGAGAGCGTGTGTCCTGCCTGCTCGTTTTTTCCAGTCTGCTGGGTGAAGATGGCAATATGTATCTCCTGTCCGCAAACTCATGCTCCCTCAATCTTATGCCAGAGTTGTCAGCTCTGGGCTTGGCAGTTGGAAAGGCCTGAGGGGGATGTACAAAATCTATTATTTCTTCCTATTCCTCAGATTTACCCATCTTGGAGAGGTCAAGCTCAGGATTGCAAGGCTTCTGTGCAAGGTTATTTATATTGATTAGTTGTATATTGTCATAAATGGTTGAATGTCTTCTGTTGCAAGATTGCCTTGATTTTTTCTGTATGCTTAGTTTTCACTGCTTTACTAACTATAGCAACTACTACTTGGTAAGGATTCAATTTTGTTAGAGGTAATGTCTATCATTCAGATCTGCAAAAACATCAGGTTTCCAGATAGAGACCATGAGCATTTAATCTGTTTTAAGACTGTAGTATTTTAAGATAAACCGTAGCTAATGTCCACTTTGAATAAAATACCTCCTAAGCAACTCTAAGTTTCTTAGAATTTTGTCTCAAATAAATGCTACAAATAAAATGTGCTGTAAATTCAAGAGACTTCATGTTTTTTCTAATAGCATCACCATAGCTGTCAGTCCTGGAGGCCATCTTTTTCTTTGGATCTTCAGGGCTGCCACATTTAGTGCTGTGGGAAACTGGGAGGGGGGATTACATAGAGCAGTGGAGATATTTAACCATAACAACATTCCTTTCTCTGAGAGTCAAGGACATTTGGCCCTGCACCTAGAGTAGCGTGACTGGGAGGCATCTCCAGTTGGGACGGTGCAACAATTGGACCATGTGATGGACATATGGGTGCAGGGGAAGTGACTTGGACTTTCTTTTGGGTGGAGAAAACCTGGGAACTTTCAGATTTGGGTTTTCCCAGATGTGCCAATATGACCTCTCAAATAAAATGGAACTTTGAAGAATTTCTAGCCTTGGAGTCTTCTTTCGTTGGGGTGTTACTTGGAACCCTGACAATAGCACCATATACTTTCTGCTATAACAGTACAGGCAGTCCTTGATTTACAACCACAATTGAGCCCAAAAGTTATATTGCTGAGATATTTGTTAAGTTTTACCCCATTTCAAGACCTTTCTTGCCACAGTTAAGTAACATAATTAATTGAATCCCCCCCCAATTGATTTTCTCATGTCGCAAAAGGCGATTAGATGATCCTAGGACACTACAACTGTCACATAAGTTGCCAAGTGTCTGAATTCTGATCATGTGACCATGGGGATGCTACATTTGTGTGAAAAAGTCATAAGATATGTGAATAAGACAATACAAATGGTTTGTTTTCTTCAAGCATACATCTTTTGCATATTTTTTTCTTCCCATAGTCAACTTAAATAGTTTTGGGAATAGCTCAGAAAAATGATATATACAGTATACTCCTAGAGTCACAATTCAAAAGATCTACAGCAGTCAGTATCATGAAGCTAAACCGGAACATTTATTATGCAATTTTTAGTTTTTAGGAAGTAAGAGAGAATAGCTTATACAAAAGGCAAGAAAAAATAATGGCTGTTCTGAATGTTCCTATTATTTTGACTGGCAAGAATTTTAGAATGAATGAAAAAGTACTTAATCTAAAAGTAACAAAGCATAAACCTTAATACTGAAAAATTGAAAGTGTAACAGCCTCTTTAATCAAAGTCAACAAAGATTGTCCAAAATCCCCAATTACAAAGACATCCCAATACATAGTCTTTTAAAAAATTGTAACATAGTTCATTACTGTAATTTATTTTCCCAGTATATATTTATTCCTGATAATTGCAGAGATAACAAGTTGCTATTCCCAAAATTGGTAACATTTTCGGTAACAGTTGCCAATGATCTTGAGATGAAGGATAAAGAATGTACTGTAACAGATTTTTCCCATTAATTCATCTTTTCCTTGATGAACTGTTGGTACTTGAGGTCCATTATCTGGTTAGCCTAATCATTTAAAGGATTTTTAACTTTTTGAAGTTTTGTATAATTGCTTTATTTTCTGTTATGTTATGGGAATCAAAATCTGAAAGAGTCCCTGAGGTATTACATTTGTGTAGAACAGCTACAAATATCTTTATACAAAGATAAAGTCTTTCTTATTAGGATATCAATTTTCAAAGCAAAAACAAAAAAACCTTCCTATTTACTTCCAAAACACATTTACTTTCTGATAACACCAACCATTACTTCTCATTATGTAATAGAATGATTTTTTGAAAAAAGATTGAATTTGTTTTCTATGTTTTACTTCTTAAAAGACTAAATTTCACTGTACTTTTAATCTAAAGATTCTGGTTTATTCCAACAATTAGAATACCAAAGTGCCACCTTAATAAGAAGAAACTGAGTTTGAATGTGCTCCCTTAATCTCATGTACAAATGCTAAATAGGAGATATCTCTTGGTGTCAGAAGCTCCTCACTCAGTGTCACTATTGCTTAAAGGAGGCAAAAACTGAAAAGCTGCTTCTGGTTTTGGGGAGGACTGTGACACAATTATTTAAATAGCACATCTCCTAATCAATATTGTAGTGCTGGATTTTTTTTTTTTTTTACAATAGCTGTTATCAGATAAGTACAGTTATATCTCCATGGGGTATTACAGATTATAAGGATTCCATTATCATTTCATAAAGAAGACAAGCAAAGCAACTGAAGTTAAATATGGAACATTTGAAATACCAAAGAAAATTATGTGTCCTCCTATGCATTAAGTATTCACTTTTCCTGAATTCTTTCTGAATGAAACAGACAAACAGAAATGGTATTGCATATTATCTGCCTATTACAAATGGTCTACTTTAAATCAAGCAATTATTAGGAATTTAAAAAAACTGAATCATTTCTGAACATAAATGTCAATTAATTGAATATACAGTACAGAACCTTATTAATCATATACAAACTGCAAGCAACTGAAAGTCTTAATTGTCCCCTTTACCTTCCAAATCCCTTTTCTTCTTATAAAATATAATTTCTTTTGCAGATTCATTAAAAATATATGTATGCATAATACAATATTATTAATTCAAACACATGAAACACCTGAATACCTACCAAAATAGATTGAAAACACCCTATCTGTCTAAATGGAGAAAGACAAGACATATTAAACTACGTTTAGAATCAGTCCACAACTTATAGTTAGGGAAGAAATTATTGAAGATATAATCTATTTGCTTTGGGATAGTTATAGTAGTATTATGGCATGCTATTTCTTTTTGCTTGGTGTAGCTTGAAGATATTCCTGCATATAGAGTTTTCTAACAGCTTGAAATAAAGGAAACATTCGGTTTGCAGAGATTGACACGGAGTGCACAGTGCTCTAGAATGTTGAGTCCTAGCTATTAACAGCTTCTAAATTAAACTCTTATAGCAACTATTCCTCAAAATGGAAAACAAATCTGGATTATTTTCACAATTATAATCTTCTTTATAAAGAACTTCATGACTGTTTATATTTTTTCCAACCAGTTTTAGGGGCATCTGAAATGACAACTCACTGGCTTCAAAACAGCAGGAATGTCTGGGCAATCAAAGAATTGTGCACATCAGAATGGGCAGGGCCTTTGTTGCCTAATTTACCCTGCCTTTTAAAGCTGTGATCATTGTTATTGAGGCTCCTGTCCAATTTCAGGAAATATCACAATATCTCTAAGCAGTTGTCCATGAAATATATGCAAGCAGATTCACTCACAAATAATCTTATTCTTATCACTTAGAAATAAATAAGTTCTACTACTATTAATTTTCTATTGGTTTATATTAGAAAATAAATTCTAGTCAAGATTTCTTTTTCGTTTTCTTCTGTAGTTTGGTGGATCTTTATTAAAGTGCATCGTATTATTCGCCAAAATAACTTAAATTTCTGTATTGTCTTTTCAAAACAGTAATCAGAACAGGGGTCTTATCCTATTAAGGGATCATCATCATCTTCCTGAAGCTGTAGTCTTGAAAATGGACGTAGAGGAGGAGTTCTGTTCTTGGTGATTATTATAAGGCACATCAGCGTAGTTAATACCATAAAGACACCAATGACTATTCCAATTGCTTCAGGAACATTTATGCACCATTGGTCAACTAATAAACACTTGGAATTGTTCAAAGTCCCATTATTAGGCTGGGATTTCAACCCTAAAATATGGCACATCATTGGATAAATATCAATAGTACGGATTGAATTCAGTCTATAATTTTTACGGAAGGCAGGTCCGTGAGCTGCCAAAAATGGCTGCATACTTGGAAGAGTGTCATCATAGCCATGGTCTCCTACTGAAAAATAAAGAATCCAAGAATTGTTAATGTATTACAAAGATTTAGCTAAGTTATTTTACCTAGTAAATATAATCCTGCCATTACAGAATTATAGCTTAACTGTTTTTTCAATAAACTATTGTTTACTGCTTGGTTAAATATCCAAGCAAAATATTTAAATGTAATATTTCAGTTCATTAAACTTTTAAAATTACATAATGTTCACTAAAAGTATCTCCAATAAAATCAACTTAATATTTAAGAAGACTATAACAAATATATTAACTCCTACGATAAAGAAAGTAATTTAACATTATCTCCTATTAAACCTGTTTGTCAAGCTAAGATAGCTTTCTGCTATATAATGTATGAGAATACCCTTTGTTGTCTCTCATTTCCCGTTTGTCACCCTATAGAATAGTCCCATCGCACAAATATGTTTCAGGATATTTTTACACTGCTCTCTCAAAATCGAATATTCTGTGGACATCCGAATGTGTTGGACTTTCCCCTTTTTCCTATTTCAGCAAATCTTGGGGTTTCCTGATATGACAATATCAATCTCTTGTTTCTCAATGGCCTATTTTGACTATGTAAGCATAGTAAAACATGTGAGTTTTCTGTTCATGCTTATGATATATAATTCTTTTTTATTACCAAACCATGTAAAAAACTTTATATGTTAAATTCTAAATTTCACTGTAGAAAGGAAGGATATCAAACCAATAATTAAGTTTTAAAAAGGAATAAACCTCTGTAGTCTCCCTATTGCATTTTAAATTGTTCTCGTCTTGTGTATCTAGCTAACCTAATTGGCTACTATTTCTATAGTTTAGCTGAAGCCAATTGCTGAAATCTCTCCCTCCGAATAGTTGCAATCAATATTCTGTGACTGCAGATATCTGTAACTTTTCCCCCCATCAGAATTAAGTTTTCAGTCAAGAAGGGATACAACCGAAGGACACTATGCTAAGAAAGAGCCTGTATAGCTGTGTAGACTAAAGCACTGTAATTTAACACAGCCTTCCATCCTTTCTAAGGTAGGTGAAATGAGGACCCAGTTTGTGGGGGCAATAAGCTGACTTTGTATAAATATACAAAAGGATGAAGGCTATTGCTTAACGCATTGTAAGCCGCCCTGAGTCTCCGGAGAAGGGCGGCATATAAATCAAATTAAAAAAAAAATAAAAATTAAAGTAAGTTCGAATCTTGCCAGGCTCAAGGTTGACTCAGCCTTCCATCCTTTCTAAGGTAGGTAAATTGAGGACCCAGTTTGTGGGGGCAATAAGCTGACTTTGTATAAAATATACAAAAGTATGAAGGCTATTGCTTAACACACTGTAAGCTGCCCTGAGTCTCCGGAGAAGGGCGGCATATAAATCAAATTTAAAAAAAAAAAGTCTTTCGTGTTGTCCAGATTTCACCCCAAAATTTCCTGCTGCTAAATTTTGTATCTGTCTAACAGGAGTGCCTATACATCATTTCTCATCACAATCCTTAGTTTGTAAAACTGGTGATTGTGCTCCAAACTTCTAAATGAGATGCTATCTGATTTAAACAGTTTTCTGAGGCAATTTTTTTGGTCAAACATTCATTTTTAAATGTTAATACCATTTCCAGCCTGACCACATGCAGCAGTTATGAAAAACAGATGGTTTTGTCCATCATTCCCATACCAAAGTATGCCCACTGTATTTAGTAAGAAAATGTGACTTTAGGATTTCATATTTTTGCAAGTAAGGCAATCCAGTTTAGTATTGTGCTGAATTTCTGAATACATAGAATTAAGCAAAATATATTAGTTAAGAAAGAATCTAATCCTTAGTGCTTTCAGATATTTTCAAAAGGTTTCTTATTCCAATTTCATTTAAAATTGTATTTTATTCCAATCTCATTTTAAATTGTTTTTATCGGATTTTAGCAATAATTTGTTTCAGGAAGTCTGCACTTTGATATGGCCTATGATTAATCAATAAACTAAACTCAATCTCAAAAGGTTTCTGTTTTTTAATTCTTCTATGCTTTAAATAACTTTTATCTCCCCATCAAAAAGGGAATTATATATGTTTTAAAAAACCTTACATCTGGGAAGAGATCCATTCTGTACAATTGTCCAGCCTTCATCTGCAACCAAAATTATTGGCTGAATGCGCTTATTGTGATGGTAATGATATCGCTCTGGAATTTCTTCTTTAAGATAAACCTTCATATTAGGGCTGCAGTTTTTCATTAATTCATATACATGTGTCACATCTAAAAAACAAAGTGTAAATAAGTTGGGTCATTTATTTATCTGTAAAACTTGTTACTGCAAATATAAAAACTGGATTCATATTTCTTAAGAGCTGTACATTTAATGTGGATTTCATCTACTCCCATTTTAATATGCTTATTTTCAGAAGTCAAAATATATTTCTTAAGGAGTTAAATCATTCTACACTTTAAGAATGCAACAAGGGACATTCTAAACCCAAAATATTCTGCATCTGAAATGCCACATCCAAGTATTTTGAGCTCAGAGTAAAAGACTGAGTTTTGTCCCAAGCTCAGAACAGTGTGTTGTTCAAACGTCTTAAATTCTTAAACACTGTAGTGTTACATTGTTTTTCAGCATAGCCAACAGAACAGCAGAGCCAGTTCTACTCCTGCTCTTATTGGTGGAGGGGAAAGACAGATAGAACCAATACATGCTCAGAATCAGATGCTGATTTGCTTGCATATAAGGTACTTCTTGATGGCTAATCACATACTTAAGACAGCATAAAAACTGCTTTCAGTTTTCTGCCTCCAAAATAGGTAAGTTTTAGGCTTTAAAAATGATTATGGATTGATATACAAGCGAGCAAATAAAGCTTTAGGAAAAATTAAAGGTTTGTGTTTTTAAAATGATGAATTTTTAAATTCAAAATGCAAATGTTGAGTTTTTGTTGAATTTTAGTGCATTGCTCTACGTATGCTCTTGCTTCATGCCAAATGCAAAGGCAATGTCACTCTGTATTTTTGCTGGTAAATTGTTGCTGGTAAATAATCTCATTGTATTTTTGCTGCTGCTATTGCTCTTTGAATGTACTGAAGAGAATCGTGCTACAGGTTTACTTTCCACTAGGCCTCTATGGCTATTTGTAATAGACAGAATACATTAAAAAAACCTAGTCTAATTTATGACCTGTGGGAATTTTTAAAGTTTAAAAATTACTCACCAGCATATTCATAGGTATGGTGGTAGTTAATAGTCAATATGTACTATCACCTCACCTTTTATTGCCCTAGAATGAGACAGCAAGCAATCTGTTTCAAGTTCCCTAGACCTCTATAATAAAAGACTCAAATGTTTGATGTGTCAGCCCTGGAAGCCATCTTTCCTTTGGAATTTCAGGGCTGCCACACTTAGTGCCTGGGAAAACGGGAGGGAGGATATGCAAGGAGTGGTGAAGATATATAGCTATAACAACATTATTTTCTCTGTAAGTCAAGGACGTCCAGCCTCCACCTGGATGGGAGTGACTGGGGGCTGTCTCCAGTTCGGACAGTGGATTGATTGGCTCATGTGATGGACATGTGGGTACAGGAGATGGGTCTTTGACTTTCTTTTGGGTGGGGAAAACCTGGGAACTTTAAGATTTGGGTTTTCCCAAATGTGCCAATATGACATCTCTAATAAAATGGATCTTTGAGGAATTGCTAGCCTCAGAGTCTTCTTTCGTTGGGGGTGTTACTTGGAACCCATACTTGATATTTGTTATATGTGTAACATGGAATATTCAAAACATGATGAATTTATACTGACAACACTGTGAACTTTTTGAAGTTTGGCTGAGCTCAGGATAAAACAGTTTTTTTATTTCAAGGACTTTTCTATATGCAATAACAAATTTAAATGAAGATAATTTTAGAAATTTGCAGTGTTAATCATAGTATGATTGGAATCAGCTTTGTTTATCTATTAACCTTAACTAATATGACATATAAAATTATTATGTCTCAGTTGAAAAAAACACTATAAAGGAAGTTTTTCATTCATATTTTTCTGGTCAGAATCAGTAAATATTCAGCAAACTGAGAAATATTAGTGACTTATGAAATTACATATTATAACATTGAGAATAATACTGTTAAAAATACTGAAGAGTAATAGATTTTACATTATTAAGAATATACTTACTATTTGGCAATAAGGCAGCAACTGGGCTTCTGTCTATTAGCACATAGTTGCTAGGATCAATGCAATGATCCAGTTTGATTAATCTCTCCTGGGAGCACTGTGCCATGCCATGATCACTTGTAATGATAACATTAATTTCCTCCCACAAATTTGAAACTTTAAGCTTCTCAACAAGGAGGCCAATATGCTTATCTACTTCTTGTAATACTTTAGTCATGTTCTTGGTATCTTCTGGTCCATATTTGTGTCCACTTGCATCTGGTTCTTCCCAATAAAGAGTAGCAAAAGTAACTAATGGATCAGAACTATTCAGCCATTCAATAATCTTTTCTACACGTTCACTGAAGCTTACTGAATAATTGTATTTCATAAAAAAATGAGGAAGAGTATTATGAATTTTTACATCTGTGCCAGGCCACATTGCAGAAGCACTTGTTTTGTTCTCCTGCCATTCATTGCTTACCCAAATAGGAATTGCTTCATCCCACCAGAAAGGATCGGTATCATTAAACTGTGAAAAATTTTTCTTTGTATCAATGTCAAACATTTCATTTGCTACAATACCATGGCTTTCTTCATACAAGCCTGTGACTATACTGTAGTGGTTTGGAAAAGTTTTTGTGATGAAAGCATTGGTAACATGCTCTACTAATACACCAGCCTTAATAAAATCTTGGAGATGTGGAAGTTCATATTTCTTCAAATAATCAGCCCTGAAGCCATCAAAAGACACCAGAAGTAATCTTGGCACTGACTTGGTAACAGATTTACCATCGGAGTAAGAAATTATTCCATTAAAGAGTAGTACTATTACAAAAAAAAGCATTCTGGATAAGATTTCAACAAGCATAGGAAACAAGGATACCTGAAAGGAGGAGAAAAAAATGAAATCCCGATTAAGAATTTCAAGCCAAAGAATTATTTTCATCCTAGACAAGCACTGAATTCAATTTCTAATACATTCAATTTATATTCTACTTAGAAGAGTTGCTAATTATTATAACTGTACAGTTCCACATATTTTTCAACTGTGCTTTACACACAGTAGAGACTGGTAACCCAGCAGCCTTGGTTTCTACAAGACCAAATCTAGTATGAAATCATAGAAATCTAACAAAATTTCAGTAGATTCTTATATTCTTATGTGAGATTGCCTACGGAGGGTAGGAAAATGGTGTGGGCATATTACCCCACAAGGTTGCTGCTGCAGGGAGAACAGGAGATAGGAACATTATGTATGCCACCTGGAGTTTTATAAAAATAAGCGTACATATTATTACTATTAATAAAGTGATTTTTGTTTTTGCTTTCTTCATAAGTCAGGGTATTTCTATTTTTAAAAAGATTTAGTTTAAATATATCACTGATATATTATTTATATAATATATAAATTATATTTATACTGTATTATAAATATAATGCCGCTATAGGACATTGCATGCCAAAACAAATAGACACAAATATAGTTTCTTCCCCGTGCCATCATTTCGCTGAAAAACGAATTACCACAATACTGCTCTTTGTCTAAGGATATTTACCCATGTAGTATTGTACTATTACCCCTCTCATCTTTTCTACTACCTTCTCTTATTGGTATCTTATGAATATATTACTTTGTTGTTTGTATGCCTAGTGAGAGCTTAAGCACCGGAAACAAATTCCTTGTGTCTAATCACACTTGGTCAATAAAGTATAGTATAGTGTAGAGTAGTACAATGCAGTGGAGTGTAACATAGTATTCAATTCTAGTCTAGACTAGTCTCATCTAGTCTACAATATCACTGAAACCCAAATAGGACAAACTATAGGTAATCCTCAATTTACAACCAGTTGCTTAGCCACTGTTCAAAGATACAGCACTTTTAAAAAACTACTTATGACCTATCTTCGAAGTTATGACTGCTGCACAATACTCTGCAATCAAACTATATGGTTTGCTTAACAATTATTGTAACTCAGTTAATGTAAAAAAAGACCATAAAATAAAGTCAGGTCACAATGGTAATCCACTTAATGACCACAACTTGCAATCATAATTCCAAGCCCAATTGTGGTTGTAAATTGAAGTCCTATATATCCTCACTTAATATACTGGCATTAATATATTCTTTCAAAAATGTTAGTATCCAAAGCAAAGCCTGTAGTTTTTGATAGCATTATATATCCCAATCCCAAGCCTGCAAACACTTTCAAGAGATAATTGCTCAATAAAGAAAATAAGATAGTGACTGTAAAGCATAAGTAGTTGATTGACTGTATGCTAAGTGGCATATACTAATATGGCAAGTTTGTTTAATTTTATTTTGAATGAACAACAGAATCTATATTCAGGTAATCCTTGACTTGCAAGAGTTCGTTTAGCGACTGTTCGAAGTTACAGTAGCTATGAAAAAAGGGACTTATGACGGTTGCAGTGTCCCAGGGTCACGGAATCATAATCTGACAAGCAGAGTTAATGAGGAAGCCACATTCATTTAATAGCTGTGTTACTAACTGAATAACTACAACTGTGGCAAGATAAATCATAAAATGGAACAAAGCTCAGTTAACAAATGTCTTGCTTAGCAACAGAAATGTTGGGCTCAATTGAAGACTAACTGTATATTTTATAACAGAGGTTAACAATATGCACTCACTTAGGATCCGCAGAGATACAGTGGATGCAGAATTCTCCAGGATCCACTGGGTCCCTCAAAAGCACCCCTGCCCCAAAAAGTAATTTTTTAAACCCCCTCCCACCAGTCCCTATCTTGCAAGAATGCCCCAAATGAATTGGAATTCTGTCATATAAAAGCATAAACACTGGCTTTATTATGGTCTTAATCAGAACAGAAATCTTGGTTATAAACAGTCAAATTATGAGAAGAATAAAAAAGTTAGTCAAATGTCAACTTCTATATTCTAATCCAGAGTTTCTTAAAGTGTGGTCTTGGGACCCTCTCAGAAGTTTTCAGAATCAAAACGATTTGCCAGTTTAGACTGAAAAATACAATATTTAAATCCCATCAAACAATTGTGAAAAGCAGCTACATGCAGTATCAGGCAGGAAATTTAAAGGTTATCCTGAGGCCTACCTGGGTCAGTGACAGAACAGTGATAACAATAGCACAGAACCGAACAAATAGATGCTTTTTGTCATTTGGATTTAGCCCATGTGAATCTAAGAGAATTTATATAAAAATTAAGCAAACATGGTGCCAAAATAATTCCCCATGGCAGTTATAATTGGGTTTGAGAACTATCTGGAATGGCTGCATTTTACTCTGAATAAAAGTTTGTTTTGTCAAAAAAGCTTATCAAAACCAATCTTTTATCAAAAGTGGAATTCTTGAATTCATCCCACGTGTACTCTTGAAACTGAATCAAAGGCTGTCTTGAAGACTAAAAATGTGACAAATGGCTATTTGTACAGACAGTGTATTTGTCTATTATATGCTATGAAATCAGATAATGATCTACTATGGATCTTTGTTCTCTTAAGACCATTTGCTCATGCTTGGGAATATTCTTTTGGTCCTGCAAATCAGAAAATGTACAACACAGACGTCTAGCATAAACTTTGTGGATAATGCATAGTAAACTAATTTATTATTTACAGCTTGCTTTCTATTACCATTCTTTACAAAAATGGACTGTCAGCCACACACAGCAATTCCATCTGGCTAGATATGGGGTCTCTGAAAAGGCACTTTGATCAGAGCACTGGCAATCATATGGGAAGGGCTTGTGTGACACTGGAGGATCTTCACCCCCAATAAGAAATTTAGCTACCAAATGTTTAAAAGTGGGGTGCAATTCTTGTTTACAAAGCATTCAATAATTTCTATAAGAGTAACATTGTCTTTTAGATAAATTAAAACATGACATATAATATAAAATGCATGGGAGTTATAAAACTAGTTGTATTTTTCATAAATATAATGGAACTACATCTTTAATCCAGTGCAGGTAGTTTATGGAGTTAGGTTAAGAATACATAATGATTTATAAAACAGTGGAAAGGGCAATTGCAGTAAAAATGTTATACAGGAAGAGTTAAAAATAAATTGTTTTGTTTTATAGGAATACTTTTTCCTTCTTACTCTTATTTTTTTGCCTACATAAATTTTACTCTACTTTCTAATTTAAAATAGTATATCAAGAATAAACTATTCTATACTTGCCTTATAACATATACCTGGCTCCAAATTCCCAACATGAAAGTAAAAACCTATTTTCAACAATTCGCATTCATCTCAAGATAAACAAAATACTGCCCAAACCACAGGCGCAGTATTTTCTTCATCTCGGATCAGTGTCACCTTCAAACCACATTAGTAAGAGGCACTGAACAAAAACAAACAAAAAAAATATTGGCGTTTGGTAGAGTTCAGCATGTAATGCCCACCAATTGGAGAGGTATGAAAATATGGACTCTCCGACGGAACACAAATTTCAGGTGTTCGATACCAAATCGTTTCGACTTGGACCCAACCTAAAAAAACTTCCTCATTTTTCCACCAGTGCGTGCAGTGGCAACTTTCTCCTTATCTATAGCGGTCCGAACCAGGAAGGGACTCCACCTGCCACGGCACGGAGAGGAGGAGGATGGGGGGGGGGGGGAGGGGGGGGGCCCGGGCCCCCCCCCCCCCCCAGATAACGAACAGCAGAAACGAAGGGGATCTGAGCTCCTTGAAGCTCTCCTCTTACCCGAAGGCAATATCCCACATCCTCCCACGGGGCAAGAGGCAAATACTGCCGCGAGGGAAGGAAGCGCCCCGCCGTCCCTCGTTCCTACTCACTCGTAATAAGCAGCTCAAACGCTCTCCTACCACAGGCGCATGCGCAGTTAAATAGCCGCCGCGAACCAGCAACGGCCGGCGGGTTTAGCACAGTCAGCGCCGACGGCGACGGAAAGAACGGGCCGCTCGTGGCTTACTCTGAGGATTCTTTTTTTTCGAGCTCTGATTGGTCACTTAGCGGTACTGTAGTGAAGCGGTCGCGCCGTTTGAGTCGGAAAAGCAGGTGCACGGCGGGTGGGGCTTTGGGAGTAGCGAAGGACGGAACTATTGGCGGGGGCGGCGCTTAGAGAAAGAGGCGGGACAGACAATAAGGAAAAAGCAATGCGAGCCCGCGAGTTGGGATGGCGTAGTGCAGGGGTGGGCAAATATGGCCCTTTTATGACTTGTGGACTTCAACTCCCAGAATTCCTGAGCTAACATGGCTGGCTCAGGAATTCTGGGAGTTGAAGTCCACAAGTCATAAAAGGGCCATAGTTGCCCACCCCTGGCATAGTGGCATTGTAGCGACGTCAGGAGGTCGTTGTTCCACCTTGTTTTTCCGCAAGATCTGAGGAAATGGAGTCTCTGTTGCGCCTTCCTGACCACCTGGATCGTATTATTTTTCCAGTTGAGATCTTCACTAAGATGGACTCCCAGGAAGTTGAAAGAGGGGACTCTCTCCACACAAGCTCCCCCCCTTTTTTAAATTTGATTTATATGCCGCCCTTCTCCGGAGACTCAGGGCGGTTTACAATGCGTAAAGCAATAGCCTTCATACTTTTGTATATTTATACAAAGTCAGCTTATTGCCCCCACAAACTGGGTCCTCATTTCACCTACCTTAGAAAGGATGGAAGGCTGAGTCAACCTTGAGCCTGGTGAGATTCGAACTTACAGTAATTGCAGACAGCTGGTGTTAATCACAATGCTATCAGTCTGCTGAGCCACCTTGATGTAAAATGGGGCAGGTTCCTCTCTCTTCTTCCGGAAGTCTAGCACCATCTCCTTGGGCACAAGAGTCCTGTAATACTTCTCAAAATGCAATTTTGTAAGAAGTTTAATAATTCATTGGCAATCACTGTTCCCCAAACCACTATCCCAAACAATACATATTGCAAAAATTTGCTCACAATCAATTTAAGCATAAATTCCACTTATCACCTCCACTGCTAATCCAGTACTTAATCCATCTGTTTTTTGATATATTTTCTTTATAGCATTTATTTGTGGCAATCAGGAATTCAAGCTAATAAATTGAATTTCCCTCAGATAACTAAATTGTTTAATTTGCTCAGTTCGATTCTTAGCTCTGCAAGAAATTATTTGCCTCCCCAACTCCAAAGCTAGAATTTTTTTTTTTCTGCTGTAGTTAATAGACAAGTTTTTCTACTGCTGATACATAGTAGGAAGAGGACTTCTGGTCCATGAAAGTAAAAAAAAATGTCATTTATAGATTAATTATGGCAAAATCTGGAAGATTCATGATGGGATAGAGATTAGAAGTTGTTAATTAGGGTAGTTCTTAATGCTGAAGTCAAATGTTATCAACTATATGGGCCTCTTCAGGACAATATGTCAATAAAATCTCTTGTAAACTTAGTTAATTCTCCACCCTTATAATTAGCCCTCTTCTTATTTAGGAAGCAGTAGTTGCGCTTAAACTTCCTCAGTAATTTTTACAAAACCAATTCCACTATCTTTTCCATTTTAGTATTTAAATTTCCAGTTTAGATAAAAGAAGCCATCCTCTTCCCCAATACCAAGATGGTTGAAAGTTTCTTCTGTAGTGTTGAAATTAGCTGCAAGGAACACAGCTGCCTGAGAGAACTGAGCTCCTGTTTGAACAATGCAAGAATGCAATCAGTCTGCAGCAATCCTTCCGAGTACTAATGGCCAAATATGGCTTTTTCAGGCTCATGCGTCGGTGTGCATATTTTCCAATGAGACAAACCGAGACAGGGAAATCATTTTATTACAATTTATCAGAATATTCAGACAAAAGGGATTCCTCATTCAAAGAGGGAACCCTGATCTTTAGCTTACATCCCTTTTTATAGATAACAAAGAAATCTGAAAGAGGAAAGTTGATTGGACAGGATAACAGCATACATGTTTATTAAAATGAGGTCTGAAAGGGAATAAATTGTAAGGAGAAAGGTGGTTTAGGGTTCACAAAGGAGATAAGCCAGACCCCAATTTGTACTAACAAACTTTTCTTATCAGGAGCTAGTCTCCCCCTCAGTACCTAGGCTTTCCAGATGAAATATCCCTTTTTCATGAATCAACTTCTGCTGCTATTTCTCTTTAAAATTAAAGGACAAGGAGATCACCCGAGGGGGTTACGTTTATTAAGTGATTTTGGAATTCTCAGAACCTGGGAAAGAGAAGGATAGGTTGTGGAGAATTATAGGTTCAAAATATCTGCAGGTTCCTCCTTTATCAGGTGGTCATCTCTTAGTAGTATCAACAAGGAATCTGCTTGAACACATTTTAAATGTGCTATTAAAGTAAACTTACTCAGTTGCAAAATCAGTAGGAAACCCGTAGCAGTGAAAACATCACTTTGGCATCCCATGGCAGTGAAAATAACTGAGTTCCATTTGTGCCATTTATATAAATGTACAGGTAATCCCCGATTTATGACCACAATGGAGCCCAAAATTTCTGTTGCTAAGTGAGACAGTTGCTAAGTAAGTTTTGCCACATTTTATGTCTTTCTGCCACAGTTAAGCGAATCACTATAGTTAAGTTAGTAACGTGGTTAAGTGAATCTGACTTTCTCATTGACTTTGCTTGTCAGAAGGTTGCCAAATATGACTCCAGGACACTGCAACTGTCATAAATATGAGTTGTTTGCCAGGCACCTGAATTTTGATCACATGACCACAAGGACATTGCAACGATTGCAAGTATGAAAAACATAGTTCAGTGAAATAAGTCACTTTTTTCAGAGACATTATAATTTCGAACAGTCACTAAATGAATGGCTGTAAATCGAGGACTTACCTGTATTATGTCTGGGTCCAAAATTGGAGTAGATAGAGTATATAGATGTTTTAATGCTATCTGTCTCACTGAAAAATATCATGAAGTTGAGAACTGTATAGGAAAATACAGCTAGAAGGATTAGGCCACTATACTAATTTTTGAATATGAATCAAGCATAAGACAGGCAAAAATGTTTATGTACCTCCTCCGTTCAAAGTAGTCTTGTTCCCATGTACAGTTTCTCTTATTTTGTTGGTATTTATTCAGTCTTCTTTTAAGAAGCATATTGTAATGACTTGTATATGTGTCTACAAAGTAGTGCTTTAATCAATGATTAAAGCATCATAGAAGTATTTGTAAGTGCTAACAATCAAATTCATAAGTCAGCCCAATCTGAAATTCCCAAAAATGATGCTCAATCTTCGTTGTTTGGTTGATAGTTATCCAACTTGTTTTCCCCAAAGTATTGCAGCCAGACGCTCTGCTGTCTTCTTGGCTTCTGACCTTGGCTTCCTTCAAAAATACAAGCCATGGACGGTGCTTCATACATCAGAGGTATATGCAGGTAGTTATAATTCTTCAGCATGGGCAAAAATCAGTCATTTGGCTTTTGCTTGTCTTTTTATTTTATTTTTTAATTTAAACTTAATATTTTGCTATTTTAATATTAATTTATTCTTAAATGATAATTTAGATCAGATATCGTAATATTGTTTACTAGAGTTATAGTCTACATTTTTTCTGAAGATAGTGTACATAGCATTTCTCTCATAAGTGTGCAGCACAACAGCAATCTAGTGAAGTAGATTAAAGATAAAGGTTCCCCTCGCACATATGTGCTAGTCGTTCCTGACTCTAGGGGTCGGTGCTCATCTCTGTTTCAAAGCCGAAGAGCCAGCGCTGTCCAAAGACGTCTCCATGGTCATGTGGCTGGCATGACTAAACGGCAAAGGCGCACGGAACACTGTTACCTTCCCACCAAAGATGGTTCCTATTTTTCTACTTGCATTTTTTACCTGCTTTCAAACTGCTAGGTTGGCAGAAGCTGGGACTTAACGGGAGCTCACCCCATTAAGTGAATTAGATTATGAAGAGGGAAAGTGATTGATCCAAAGTCACTTAGTGAGCTTCTATGGTTGAGGATAGACTAGAAAGCCAGGTCTCTCAGCTCTTGGTCCAACATCTTCACCATTATACTACACAATAATCATTGTTCAATTTCTTCACAATATCTGGAAGAGTTGCATGCTGGCATGAAATAAGGCAAAATTTTCTGACAGGAGAACAATCAACCAATGGAACAGCTTGCCTTTGGAAGTTGTGGGAACTTCATCACTAGAGGCTTTCAAGAAGACACTGGACTGCTATCTATCAGAAATGGTGTAGGGCAGTGATGGTTAACCTTTTTGGCACCAAGTGCCAAAATAAGCACACACACATCAGAGCGCTGGAACCTGGAAGAGAGTAGCTGGCCGGTGCGCATGCACTTGAGTTCCATCGTGCACATGCGCACCAGCCAGCTGCTGTCTTCTGGGTTCTGCCATGCGCATGCGCGCCGGCAGACCAGCTGGCCAGCATGCATGCATGCGCCGGAACCTGGAAGAGCAGCTGGTTGGTGCGCATATGCACCGGACCAATTGGCTGGTGCTCATGCGAGCAACCGAACCCAGAAGGGCTGCTGGCAACGCCACGTGTGCCCACAGAGAGGATTCTACATGCCACCTCTGACACGCGTGCCATAGATTCGCCATCACGGGTGTAGGGTGTTCTGCTTGGGTGGGGGGTGGGGGGTAGATGATGTACAAGGTCCCTTCCAACTCTGCTAATCTGATATGCTCATCTGGTTGATGTTTTATAAGGTCAGGGAGAATGGGCATGATGATGATGCTATCCATTCAATCGTGTCTGATTCTGGGCACTTCTATGGACCAATTCCTTCCAGATATTTCAATCTTGTATAGCTTACTTCACTTGTTTTATGCTCTGTCTAGTGTCTCCTTTGATAGTGTCTAGCCACTGTGCTTTTGGTGACTTGTTTATTTTAGTACTGACCAGGGGTGAAATCCAGCAGGTTCTGACAGGCTCTGGAGAACCGGTAATGGAAAATTTGAGTAGTTTGAAGAACTGACAAATACCACCTCTGGCTGGCCCCAGAGTGGGGAAGG